GCACAAACGTTTTCCTAGAAATGAGCATTGGTGCGCGGAGCGAGGTTTATCTTGGTTGACATGATTGCTCAGAATGCGAGATGTATGGCCAAATCATGCTCCCCATATGCATCAGCGATCTGCGCTTCTATAAAATCTAGACCTAGGGTCAACACGTATGCTTGATAAGGGCTGGTAATCCTCAAAGCTTGGCCCCAATTAAGTCCATCCTCCGACTACATTATGTTTTACTGTTGGTGTGTTCCTCAGATTGGAATCATGTATGACGGTGTCGTTAAAAGACGAGATTGATAGCTCTTATATCTGCTTCAGCCACCCAGCAATTCAACAAACGGTACTTCCAATTTACTGTGGAGTTAAGTGCTGAGGTTTATTTGGTCGGCCTTCATCTGCATGGCTTACAATGACTCTAGGGGGTGGGAAGGGATGGACAGGGGAGGGAGGGCCAGGGGAGGGAGGGGGAGGGATGGTACAGGTATAAAACATACATGGTGAACTGCATCTTGAGTTGTATGTCGATACAGACCTACACCTCGTCGTCACATGATTTTTATTGGACCCCTATCGTGTCCTCTTTCGACACCAGATTCGCCGATTAGCTACCTTAATGCTAAACAATTTGATTAACTGAACTGGTCAGAAGATCTTTATCCATGCACAAATGATTAAGAAGAAGCCTCTTGAAAATTATTGAAAACCCAAGTTCATGAAGCGCCAATAAAATATTTCAATGTTCTCAAAAATATTAATATACAACCTCTGCCTCATCACAAGCACAAACCGATGATACTCATCTTTCTGTTTGATTGTGCCACAACACGCCAGCTACGACATCACGACATCTACACACATTGCGACACGATGTACGGTGAGACAACAGCCCATGTCGCTCGAGGTCTTGTAATCCTGTAAGTCTCTGGGATCGATACAACTTCTTTTGCCACGCAATGGAATTAATTTCCTCCCGCCACACATCTAACCCTCGCTATAAGGCAATAACACTCGGTGACTTAGGCGCCCAGTTCTTTGTCAGCGTAATGTTGATTGTAGGCTCGCAATCCCGATCCCAGCCGTAGAAAATTGCTCTCTGTTTTATGGGATTTTGGAGTTTGCTTTGAATGCTAATTCTGTTAAAACTCCTCTATTTTTTCTTGTCGCTTAATCGGATTTTTTCTAGTTAGGAATCAAATTGGAATTGAGAAACGTTTTGGAGAGAATGATGACTTTGAGGGGATACCGGGACTAAAGTTGTCTCAATCATGTGTTCTTATATACAGTGCCACCAGAATGGCTGGTGAACTCAGGGATGAGTAAGTGAATGAGTGAGTGAGGGCTTTGCGCCGCGTGTCTGGCTGCTTGTACTGGTCCGGACTGAGGCCGATTTTTATAGTGCTAGCTCACTGACATACCATGCCGCAGTTTAACATGAATACCCCACTCAGACACAGTATACTGACTCCGAGCCGACCAGTCCTTGTTTCACTCGAGGAATGAACTACATAATCTAGATGTCAAAGAATATCAAAATAATTTATCGATGCTCGAGTATAAAGTGAGAAAAGAGGCAGTTTCAGATAACGTATGTATATTTTGTTAAATGTCATAAAAAACAAAACTTTCCCAAAACACGAATTATTGCCAACATTATTGATCAAAAGTCGTTTTGAGCATCTATTTTCGTCTCGTGCATATATTATTCACAAAGGTCTACGGCGCTTCTGGAACTGCGGAAATATCATAAATACTAAGGTAACTTTTATTGCTTGAGTAACCAGTGTTGTCTTCAATGACTGTCTTAAACTGTCGTAAACACCCACGCCTGACATTGTAGTACTGGGTTTCCATGACGCACATAGACTGACTTCCGATGCTGTTGTTTGTTTGCTTGTTTGTTTGTTTGTTGTTTAACGCCACACTCAGCAATGTTACAGCTGTACGTCGGCGGTCTGTAAATAATCGAGTCTGGACCAGACAATCCAGTGATTGATATCATGAGCATCGATCCACGCAATTGGGATACAATGACATGTATCAACCAAGTCAGCGAGCCTGACCACCCGATCCCGTTAGTCGCCTCTTACGACAAGCATAGTCGCTTTTACGGCAAGCATGGGTTTCTGAAGACCTATTCTACCCCGGATCTTCACGGGTCACTTCTGATACTGACTCACATGGACTGCCTGCCTGATACTGTCACACATTGACTGACTGATACCGACTCACATGGACGACTGACTGAAACTGACTCACATTGACTGACCGATACCTACTCACATAGACTGACTGTCTGATACTGACTCATATTGACTGACTGCCTGGTACAGACTCACATACACAGAATGTAGCTAGTGTATCTGGTAAACATGTTATTCCTAACCCAGATGCTAGTGTGTGCGGTAGAAATGTTATTCCTAACCTAGATGCTGGTGTGTGCAGTAAAAATGTTATTCCTAACCCAAATGCTAGTGTATGTGGTAAAACTGTCATTCCTGACCTAGGTGCTAGTGTATGTGGTAAAAATGTTATCCCTGACCTAAATGCTAGTGTATCTGGTAAACATGTTATTCCTAACCCAGATGCTAGTGTGTGCGGTAGAAATGTTATTCCTAACCTAGATGCTGGTGTGTGCAGTAAAAATGTTATTCCTAACCCAAATGCTAGTGTATGTGGTAAAACTGTCATTCCTGACCTAGGTGCTAGTGTATGTGGTAAAAATGTTATCCCTGACCTAAATGCTAGTGTGTGCAGTAAAAATGTTATTCCTAACCCAGAAGCTAGTGTATGTGGTAAAAATGTTATCCCTGGCCTAGGTGCTAGTGTGTGCAGTAAAAATGTTATTCCTAACCCAGATGCTAGTGTATGTGGTAAAAATGTTATCCCTGACCTAGATGCTAGTGTATGTTGTAAAAATATTATTCCTGACCTAGATGCTAGTGTATGCGGTAAAGATGTTATTCCTAACCTAGATGCTAGTGTATGCGGTAAAGATGTTATTCCTAACCTAGATGCTAGTGTATGCGATGTACATGTTTTTGCAACCTCCATGCCAGTGTGTGCGATATAAATGTTTGTTATGACCGACATGTTTTGCCTCGTCGTTGATACTATCAACCACTGGTTTGGCTGGCCCGGAGACGACTATATGCAGGCTTCCGTGACATACCTGTAGTAGTGCTGACTGCCGTAAAATAACATTCACTCACCGACTGTACGAAATACATACTCTATATGATCCAACTAAATAAGACGATGTCGGGTGTGCCAGCATCAATGCTAACTTGATGAAGATTTCAGAAACGTTTCTTTGTCGCTCTCTGGAGCTTCCTCGCGTTCTTTGGACCCATTGCCAAATTCCATGCAGCTCCACGTATTGACAACAGCTTTGTTAAATAACGGATCGTACCCTTCCTTTAAAATACCGGGCGCTTTTGACAAGCATACATGATTTTAGGAGCGCTTCACTAACTCCTGTTTCCTGCTCACTCGCGGGTGAGGTGAGGTGAGGTGAGGTGAGGTGAGGTGAGGTGAAATTTGGTTTAACGTCGCGTCCAAGATTATTGCACTTATGTGGCGACGTGCATGCACGTGTGTGTGTTTGTGTGTGTGGCTGCTTGTACTAGTCCGGATTGGTGCCGATTTACAGTGCTAGCTCACTGAGATACCATGCCGCAGTTTAACATGAATACCCCACTCAGACACAGCATACTGACCCCGAGTCGACCAGTCCTTGTTTAAGCCCCTTAATGCCGAGAGCCAGACAGGGTAACAACAAGTACCATCTTTTAACGTCTTTTGGTATGACGCGGCCGGGGATCGAACCCCGGGCCTTCCGCTCTCCGGGCGGACGCACTACAACCTGACCACGGAGGCGGTCTGCTCACTCGCGGGAATTCACTTGGCGTTAACATCACGTTGCAGTATACGGTTCTCAGCAATGTATTTACAATGGATTCTGGTATCCTAAAGCTGGAGGTCATACAGTGTTTCTCGATACATGTATGAAGTCACATGTGGTTTGTAAGCAGACTGTGGTGGTGGGGTAGCCTGGTGGTTACTGCGTTCGCTCGCAACACCGAAGACCCGGATTCGATTCCCCATACGAGTACAATTCGTGAAGCCTATTTCTGGCGTCCCCCATCGTGATATTGCTGGGATGTTGCTTACAGCGGCGTAAAACGAATTCATGCACTCATTCTAAGCAGACTGACGTGGGTAATCTGTTTCCTCTTCCCAGAATGAGTGAGTGAGTGAGTGAGTATGGTTTTACGCCGCTTTTAGCAATATTCCAGCAATATCACGGCGGGGGACACCAGAAATGGGCTTCATGGGCTTCACACATTGTACCCATGTCGGGAATCGAACCCGGGTCTTCGGCGTGACGAGCGAACGCTTTAACCACTAGGCTACCCGACCGCCCCCTTCCCAGAATGAAAGTAAGAAAACGTTGGTTGGTTTCTGTACTTCATGTCTTGGGGTCCATGATCACAACGATGAAATATATCTATATCGACATCATGAACACACAATGCCATTTAGAAAGTGGTCAAATGTAAGAAATGTACAGATTCTAGCGCGTTTTGGGGTTGAGTCCCATCCGGGATTCGAACCCACACTGCCATAGTAATCGCCAGCACACAAAGTCAGCGATCTAACCCACTCAGCCACCGAGGCTTCCACAGAATAAAAATCCAACAACTTGTAGTCTAGATCACGTACCTTGTGTACCCCTCTGACACGTGTAAATTGGCACGGCTCCCATGGCCGAAAGCTATGAACACACAAGTGGTCACATGTAACAAATGTTATATTTGGGATAACATTTTCTTAATAAGATCGCTGACTACGTGTGCTGGGGAATAGGTGCCTCACTCTGGCAGTGTGGGTTCGAATCCCCGGATGGGACTCCATCCCCCAAAGTACTAGAATATGTACTTTACTAAGAAAGTGTCATCCCAAATTTTACATTTGTTTTATTGACATCAACGAAGAAAAGCACACAATGAGTTTGTTTATTTTCTTTATTATACAAAAATAGCATCTTTCGCAAAATCAAAACATGAATAAACAGTACGGGCTGATTGCTTACAAACATGTTTGCATATAACATTCAAACCAACTAGAGTATTTCTGGAGATGGGGGTGGGGGGTGGGGCACCGAGTGCATGGGTGGGGCAGTTGGGTGGGGCTACGGACTAGGGTCGGGCGACTGTGCTTCTCCTGGTGCCTGATACAGCAGCTGTTAAGTCTATGATTGTCAAGGGCGTGGTGAAATTACATACAAAGAAAATGCCACACACAGCATGAAGTATGAACTGTTGTGTGGCAGGTTAAATAGCAGAATAAGAACAAGAACGACAACTCTATCTTTAACGTCAGTATGAGAGCCGACCGCTAAGACGGTTTGGGATATTGACGCATCATAATAGTGCTTATCTGAAAATCCCGTTAACTTTGCTGTCGACAGTAAAGGGAGTGTTTATATTGCAAGCATCAGTAGCATATTATTGATGTTGAGTATATTTAAGGCTACATATGGACATGGTATGGATATATAGCTGACAGCTTATCTATTACAACATTAATCTGATGCATGCTGGAATCAAAACACGCCCGCATATTCTCACAGTTTATAAAACCTTATATTATATTGATATATATATGTCACGATACACAATACTTATGTTCAGTCAGGGCCGTTAAGCAAGACAGCATAGCCCCTGACACAGTATACATATGTGGGTAGTATTAATAACCTTACACAATGGTACATGGTGCTGTGGCAGAACGTGCAATTGTTATGACTAATTTCTAATGTTGTTTTTTATAACCTACCACATTCATGTGTCACTACCGGGAGTGAGTGGGTTTGTTGACTTTTAGCGACACGTGTCAACTCAAACCAATGCAGACTGTCGGAGTTTACCAGTTTGGTGAAACCAACGAGTAGGGTATGGTGCTACCAAACCAAGAAAGAAAATCAGGGCTAACTTGGATTCGAACACACGAGCTGCGGATCCTGCATTACTAAAACGCCGAACGGAAAGTGGTCCTTAACCACTTGGCCACAGAAACCCCTTGGGGTCGTTAAAGGAGGGCTATGTTCCCAGCCTGGTGTCCATGTCCCATGACACTGTATTGTCCGGATCACCGTGGACTTAAAGACGGAACTTATCACGGACTATAAGTTAGCAGTCAACAAAGCTGGGGCTGCTACTTGCCCGAGCGCAAACCCCCTTTAACGGCTGATACCGTCATCACGGCAAATCACAGCAATAATAGACCCACGTTATCCAGGATATTACGAACTATTCGAGACATGTATAGTTCGTTACATCCGAATTTCCCCATTCACACCAACACTAACTGCTTATTACTGCTTATTTTGGAAATAAGTTACAGTGAAACCCGATTCATCCGGAAGGAACAGCGACAGGCGAAATTGCCCGGAATAAAAATATTCGCTTCAACGAATAGGTACGTCCCAATATGGCTATTGTTACGCGTGTAGGCATTCCCTTTGAAATCGGAATACGAGGACTCCGGATTAAAAGGTGTTGATAATCGGGGTTTCCCTGTCATTTTAGTCGCCCTGGCTGACCTCTCACCCAGAGGATAACGGCTTATATCATGTCATTCGTGACCAACTCGTGTTATTCCGGGACAAGCCGAATAGCGAGGTTACGGAAAGGGGCGAGTGGTGGCGAATGGTATCATGTATGAACAGAGCGACGGACGTCACCTGTGTCGGGGATTGTCCATGTCACAGAGGCCCCTATTCTCTCCATTTACCCACGCTCGTTGGCAGATCCGCAATGGGGTCACCATGGTGACGCTAGGGTGATACTCGTGACAACTGTACACACTATTTACACACAAACATCTGTACAACATACACAAATAAGTTAAGTATAAGTCAAATAACCACCACGTTGCTATGATACACATGTACAGAAAGGTCTAACAAGAAACAGACAAAACACACTAAGTCGTCTTGTAAGGCTTGGTCAATATTACATAGATGACAATTGATTTACAAGTAATAACATTTATGTCAGAATTTTAAAATTAAGACAAGTTACACATTGTTCTCAGATTTCACAGAATATGATAACGGCGAAGGTGTGACGGTAGTGTTGGCGCCCTATAAGTCAAGGGAAAGATCACGAGTTACCTCCCCTTTCACAACCGCTCTTTGATACTAAAAAAGCACTTAAAAACCACATCGCAAATCCTACTTCTAGTTATTCTGCTACACGTATTGTATATGTGGAATGTTGGTGCATTTGTTAGGAATTTTTTCACCAAATATGTTTGTAAATGAGCGTGTGTATATCATCATAAAAGACTATACCTGCATGACTAAAATGTTAAACATCACTTTTTGACAATGTTTACTTTGGAAATGTTAAAATAATAAACTATAGAAGCTCAAATAGGAATAAAAGAAAACATAAAATTAAAACCGAACTTAAAAATCGAAAACCGTCAGTATCACCAAATACAAATGAAACACATAAACTATATTCATATTAGCCTAAGTATTGAGTATTAGTATTGTTAAAACTATATATTTTCATCTTAAAACCATCATTAAAAACTACACCCGTATGTATCACTGTAGTAAAAAGTTAATAATTAATAATAATAATTACAAAGACTAAACAGAGTTTAGCCCAGTGAAATCAAGCAGCCCTCTCGCCATACCATCAGTCTATACGCTAATCAGTTCTAGCTCTTACAATGTCCGGCGAATCGACCACACTGTTTTGAAGTAGGGAACTAAGCGAGGTTAACGCCGCATTAAACAATATTTCAGTGACGGCGTGTCAGCTCGATGTGGAAGGAAAGATGTCGTTGACGCAGGTTTTAAACGTTTACTACTTTGGTCAAGCCCATGGACAAACCATGGATCGCAATCGGGCGAAGTTTGGATTCGAACCCACGATTAGCGGATCCTGCTGACTTCAAGCCTTCAAAATACAACATAGGGAGGTTAATGATTCGCTTTTTTCCTTTATGAAAACAGCACTGGTGAATTCCCGTTAATACAGGATTACATTAATATGATTAATAATTTGTTTATGAATTAATCAAACCCTTTACTAAGAATCACAAGTAGAACATCTTCTAAGACATCGTGAAATATCTTTGAGGCATAAGTATCCAAATTGTATTTGAAAACAATTCATGTATTAACTGCCGGGTCAAAAAAAGGATACACCCACGTTTGATGATGGCTAAAACTGAAACAAACACAAATGGTTATTTGATGGTGATGTATTTGATGCAGGTTTTCATCGTTGTGTTTGGCCTTACGTTTTCAGTGTTCGGCGACTTTTTTTAGCCTAGTAACATTTTGATAACGTTTGTAATTATTTCGTCAAATGTTTAACTGTATACTATCTTTCCCCGGTCGTTTAGTTATTTCGTTATCGGTTTCGATAAAAAAAATCAGAAGAAAAAATAATTCCTATGGAGGGCCTAGCGTGACATTTGAAATAAACACGGTAAATAACCGTACGGTGATGTATGTGTCTACACGAACACATGAACAAGTGTTAACAAGCGTCAGTGTCCCTCGGCATAAGAATCCCCGCCATGGTGTCGCGCTGAAGGGTGCCCCCTCATTGGTGGGGCACCAATTACCGGTCGATATGTCACTGCTGCAATATTTAATACTATCACTTTATATGGTAATTTATGGTGATTTCACGGTTTGGAGGTTCTAACTCATTGCTTTTATACATGTAATTAAGGGTCAAAATTAACCATTAGATTGGTACAGGTGCTTGATAAAGACAACCTACATTCTGTCTGAAGAGGCCCCGTCAATTATCTAATTGTAACTCCACGCCGATGGAATTTTCAGCATTGTAAATGCGATCAACGGTTGTTTTATATAGTAACAGAAAACAGACAATTTAATATTGACCCGGTTGGCTTAAAAACTGCCTGAACAGTTTTGTGAGTTGTTTAACGCCATTGTTTCGGCTACAGCGCTTTATGTCAGCTAAGGGCGGATAGCACGAAGTGATGCAGGTTTTAGATGTTTACCACTTTAATGAGACCCAAAACCATATGATACTGAAACATTAAGGCTTATTATTAGGACGAACCAGGGATTCGAGCCTACGGATCCTGACATGGCTAAGGGACGCAACTCTGTATGTACATCACCTAAGAACACAAAGTACAATCAATATACCCCAATTCACTACCATAACCTACTTGTCTTATATCCATGACAACATAAGCATTCAACAAATTGGTTTAAAATTGTTGGGAGTGTCGATCAGCATGAGCCAAGTCTCCCTTAAACCCATCCGACAACAACAAAATAAATTAGAAACATGTACGGAATACAATACTGCTGTCTCAATGAGCAGGTTGCTTACCGAAACACCAGGAAATACACGTTTCCGATCCTCAATATAGCGACTTCCCATTTAAGCAATGACACGTGTCAAGTTAATTACGTTTTGGTAAATACAAAGACGAGCTTGTTCCAATACATAATGGTACACTTCTAAGAACACTACGTGCAGGATGAAATAGAACCACTACCGTGTCACGTAACAACTGTGACATCATCCACGCGACAGGATGTAAATGACAACTTCCGCTCTAAGCGGACGAGGACGGAAGTGGATGGTAGCTTTGTACAACACGGTATAATACAAGGTGATAATACTTACATATGTTAATAAGAGGGCATATTTACATCACAGAGTCCGGCATGCATGCATGTACGTGAAGCAGGACACAGAAACAGACGTGTTGTCATCAATGAACCAACACAAATCTAAGGGCACGTTTCCTGTTTTTGTGATACTTATCTCCCGACCTAGTTGCAGTATTAGTCTTATTTCTGTCATTACTCTACCCATTTAAGCTCGAAAAGACTGAAATCCTCACAAAAGAGCTAAAATGCATTAACAAAATCGTCAAGGATGTCTCCAGACCCTAGAGAATAAATTAAAACATGATCCCAACTAAGTCTATAATGATTTGGCAAGTCTAGATTACCTCAGCTTTAGGCTGAAATCAAATATTGTTCTGGGCTCCATTTGGATTTTATTTCGTAGATAACGTTTTTTGAATGACTTTATTTCTGGAACTAAGTGTTAGTCTAGGATATCGTCTGCCCTGCATAAAATACAAGTACTATAAACGTAAAGCAAGTTCATAATCACACATGATTCTCTTTAAATTTTTCCTTTCCTAACTTCTAACCAACCATCCAGCACAGCGCTTTAACTGTAGGATTGTACAACACATCTGACACACATGTTGTCCCAATCAAAGTTACTTTCAGTCAATATTCCTGATAACTTTTAACATTCGGATAATTTGACGATCAGATTCCGTCTATTTACGGTGTGAACTGGTGTCTATCAGCTATCAAGGATGTGTGCAGCACCTATATCTCAACGATTACACAACATAGTGAAATATAGGGCTAAGTTCGGGAGGGTCACAAAGTGCCCTGACGCGAAATCACATTTCTGGGCATTTCTTACACATGTGAGCAACACTGAAGTGAAACGCTAAATCGCACCACAGTTGACAGAGCGAGATGGAGATGTAAATACCATATCTGTATCCAACGGTAAAACGTAACGGTATTGGCATTGCAATATAACGGGGAAGGCAAGGAATCGTCATGAAACTAGGTATATTGCTGCTGGAGGCGTGTATAGTCGCCCTGCTGGACCACGCTGCCCAGTACTGACTGAAGCCTGGTGATAAGAAAAACAGATCTAATTTATTGCACGCACTCCATTCAGCCAATTTATAAATTGCAACCTTCCCGGCGGGACTAGCCTCGTCCTCTGTCAGTAAATGCCCTGACATGAACAATTAGTCCCGGTCGTGCCCGCTTTCAGGGCTTCCCAATAAGAGCTTTCCTAGGCGTTATAGTCAGTTCCTTTCAATACGGCGAGGAGGTTAAATAGATTGCATGCTGGGTTCGAACCTGTAGCTTTAAGCCGTAAGAAGATTGTCCTTTAGAATCACTGCAGTGTTTACCAGATCAAACACATTGCTGTTTCAATACGCATAATCGGGAATTAATCCCTGTCGCAGGACTAACCCCTTTAGTTACAAAAGTAAAGGTCAAACGGACATCCGTTAACTATCCCCAGACTCACCATGACGTTACGAAATGATTTCAGCTAACTGCAATAAATTTAATATGTAAAACAATGCTTAGTAAACCTAACCCGTAAACTTTGTCTAGATTCAAAAGAAAAAAACACCACCCAAACATCCTGAGCTTTTTGGTTTTAAAGTAGTCCCACAGAGCAAGTTTTAATCTGCTAAACCCTCAAGTGCATTTCTGGTTTTAATGCAGGTTTTAATAACCCCAACGTCACTTTCCGCCCAGCCTAATCGCCTTACGAGATAAGCTTACTAAAGAGGTCATTTACGAATGGTGCGTAAGCCGTGGTTAATCAATGCGGCCAAGGCAGGCTAATGATGCTGCAGACACCAGCAACCGCCAACTGACAAGACAAGTTCTGTTTTGAGATACGGTCCTCGGGCGAAGTATAAAATCTTACACCACGTACATTTATTGACGTAAGGGTGAGAATACTGACTTGGTAATGACAGCCATAGGATGTTGTAGTGTATTCTGGAATGGAAGTTGGCTACAAAAATCCCTGAAGGTTTCAGCAGATTGGGTTTCTGTCAATGCTTAGATGTATTGATGAGTTGTTCCCTGATGGATGGTTACGTCTGAGTACAAAGGTATTCACTGTTGAGTGAGGGAGGGAGTTGGGTTTAACGCCGTTTTGAAAAGTATTTCACTTATAATACGTGTCAACTTTATGTGAAGGAAAGCCTAAAGTGATGCAGGTCTTAAACGCTATCACTACGGTGAAAACCCACGCGCACAGGTATGATGCTGACAGACCTAGAACCATAATCAGGGCGAATCTGGGATTCGAACCCCCGATCACAGGTTTCTGGTACACCTAAGGGGCGCAACTCTGCAAGACGAACCCGGCGCCTTAATCCTGGCCATCAGTGCCGCCTTATTCGAAGTTTCCTGATTTTGACAGTACAATGTGATCAATGTATGCAAAATGTGCAGCCATCGTACATACTCAGTTGTCAAAATAAGTAATCATAGCGAATTTAACAGCGGTTCACACACATGCAGGATATGCGTTACCGCGTCTCGTTCACTGGTAATAATTCTAAGTGCAATCAATCACGAGCATGTATGCACGGAAATACCTGACAGCATCAACCGCTTCATCATATACACGTCAGTCAATATTAGAACGGCAAACAAGAATAAATTACCCTACAAACACGCTATATAAATACGAGCAATCAATTATATACATCTGAACCGTATAAATTATTTTACAATATGACATCTCAGAAACATTCAATTTTAAATGGGCTTTCCCATTCTAACATCCGTATTTAATGTATGTACATAATTAATACGATAAGCTATTCACTACTAACATAAGAATTATGTTTCAGAGGCCATGTCTGACATGTACCCGCCGGCCTCCCATATATTGACACCAATGTTCAAAGCTCGTCTTGGATCACAACCTTCCCGGTTAACACTGCCATAGTACTTCAAGGGGATGGTAACACTTCCCATCTGGCTCGTTCGTCACACAAGTTGAACCTGTAAAGAAGTTCGCCAGGTGGCGCCCTTCATTGTGCAAGCTTCCGGTATCTAGATCCAAAGCATATAGGGGTCAAGGCCGCTATGGAATCACATGACCACAAAAATAGCACAGATGACTTCCGGTTTTCAACATTAACATTCGCACGTCTTGTTAAACCATACACATGAAACACTCGCTGTAAGCGTGGCTGTTGGAGTTTATAACATTGTCTTTCATTATCGTGCCATTCAGCTTTGAAACCCTTTGAGATTAATTGATATAGACACAAAAAGGGCCAGAATAAACACCGCATCGACAGCATGAATGGTTTGAGCAGAATTTACGAACAATATCTCAAATGTTCTCCGAGTCCGGCCCTGTTGGTTGAACGCTTCACAAACAAAATTCTCCCCAATTTCGGGTAAATACTGCTCAATTAGTAAGACAGCAGCGGTGACTCCGCGGTATGATAGGAACTGTGTCTCCTTGCTGTTGTTCAACTGCACACCCTCCGCCAACCATATCACCTTTGGAACAGGGTATCCTTGCGCGGGGCAGTATAGTTCCAGACGTTTTTTAGACACCGTCACCGTCTCTGAGACGTTGTGGCCATCAGGGAAGTATGGACTGCCTGTAAGAGAAAAAGTACGTTTCATATCTGCATCTCATGGAACTACTTTTGCAACAGACTAGGAAGTGTCCGACACGAAGAGCAACTCTCACTCACTAGTACGCGCTCAAGAGTAGTCCCCCTTACAGAACCAAGCGCATAATAATAGTTTTGATTTTTTATCAAACAATTCATTCTCATACCAGTCCAATTCTCAATCCATTCTCAGCTCAACTGAAATTGACAAACTCAAAACGTTACTGGGATGAAACCAGTAGCAGAAACACTTAAGGTCCAAACCTCAACTATGATACCCGTATCAAAATACATCACCATCGAATAACCGTTTCTTGTTTGTTTCATGTTTAGCCACCATCAAACATGGGGGTATTTTAGTTTGCCCGTCAGCTATGTCTAATTCAAAGTGTACATAATCAATATTAATCTAATAACCAAAATTGTTTGAAGATTTATATTCACTAGGTGGCATGTGTTGAATGACATTACCATTTGGGGGGTTGCTGGACGTGAGTGCATATGACATGTATACAAGTTGAATATGGTCTGTATGCTTCAGTAGTATTGTATGGAAACCAACGTTGCAGTTAACCTCGTGTATGTAACCGTTATGCTCATCGATATTGACAGATTTGGCTGACTAACTTGACTTCACGTCTTCACAAACTTGACTGACTTCACTAACCTGACTAATTTGACTGACTTGACTGAGTTGACAAACTTGACTGAGTTGACAAACTCGATAACCTTGAATAACTTGACCTAGGTCTTACTGCAACTAGACATATCTGAAAATCCTTCATTTGATGTTCGCCGGATACGAATAACGCATCACTAACATCCTGGTCATATGGCCTTTTCGTGGTGAAGATGATATCTTGTTTCACCAAAAGTCTTACTCCTGCTTTAAATACGTAGTACCAGTACATCAATAGAATAACGGTTAAATGCTGCTACCGACTCTAAGCGTACGGTTAGTGTATGTGTTACACGCGACATAAGTGCTACCCAGTATCGGTTCGCTATCAGTGAGATTCCGCTAGAGCATGCAACATCTGGCTTTTGTTGTGCATAGGCGTAACCAGGGCTGTATACGACCCATCATGCTGGCAGTATACATACCGTCTCTGTATGTGCCATATGCTTTGTGATGTTAATTGTCATGCTGTCGGCGGCATGGTCTGTGCGCCGTTAGTGTTGTGAGGTGAGGTGAGGTGAAATTGGGTTTAACGTCGCGTCCAAGATTATTGCACTTATATAGCGACGTGCATGCACGTGTATTTGTGTGTGTGGCTGCTTGTACTAGTCCGGACAGATGCCGATTTATAGTGCTAGCTCACTGAGATACCATGCCGCAGTTTAACATGAATACCCCACTCAGACACAGTATACTGACTCCGAGCCGACCAGTCCTTGTTTTAGCCCCTTAATGCCGAGCGCCAGACAGGGTAACAACAAGTACAATCTTTTAACGTCTTTTTGTATGACGCGGCCCGGGATCGAACCCTGGACCTTCCGCTCTCCGGGCGGACGCTCTACCACAAGACCACGGAGGCGGTCCGTTAGTGTTGTACTGCTGTGCCATGGTCATGTGAGTACGGTGTAGCTGTGTCCCTGTAAACGTGTGTGGTGTACTTCTGCATGCATGCATCAACGTGTGGTATAATTCTGTATACATAACAACGCGTGGTATATTTCTGTATACATATATCAACGTGGGGTAAAATTGTGTATACATATCACCGCGTTGTATATTTCTGTATACACATTTACATATATCAACGTGTGGTATAATTGTGTACAATACAGCATGTGTGGTATAGTTATGTAATGGCCAGATGTGGCATAATTATGCATACATATAGACAGTTATGGAATATCCGTGTATACATATAGTGTAGTATAATTATGATTAAATAGAGCCACGTGTGGCATACATCTGAAAACCAAAACTGTGGTATACTTGTGTACACATATAGTAAAGTGTGGTATAATTGTGTATACTTATAGTCAAGTGTGGTATAATTGTCCATACATGTATGTAGCCGAGTGTGAGTAAATTATTTATACATTTATACATATACTAGTTAAGTGTGATATAATTGTGTATACATATATTCAAGTCTGGTATAACCGTGTGTACACATAGTCAAGTCTGGTATAACGCAGAATTGTCCATACATGTATGTAGCCTAGTGTGAGTAAATTATTTATACATTTATACATATACTAGTTAAGTGTGATATAATTGTGTATACATATAGTCAAGTCTGGTATAACCGTGTGTACACATAGTCAAGTCTGGTATAACCGTGTATACATATAGTCAAGTGTGGTATAACCGTGTATACATATAGTCAAGTGTGATATAATTCTGTATACATATAGTCAAGTGAGGTATAACCGTGTATACATATAGTCAGGTGTGGTATAATTCTGTATACATATAGTCAAGTGTGGTATAACCGTGTATACATATAGTCAAGTGTGGTATAATTATGTATACATATAGTCAAGTGTGGTATCACCGTGTATACATATAGTCAAGTGTGGTAAAACCGTGTATACATATAGTCAAGTGTGGTATAATTATGTATACATATAGTCAAGTGTGGTATATCCGTGTATACATATATTCAAGAGTGGTATAATTATGTATACATATAGTCAAGTGTGGTTTAACCGTGTATACATATAGTCAAGTGTGGTATAATTATGTATACATATAGTCAAGTGTGGTTTAACCGTGTATACATATAGTCAAGTGTGGTATAATTCTGTATACATATAGTCAGGTGTGGTATAACCGTGTATACATATAGTCAAGTGTGGTATAATTATGTATACATATAGTCAAGTCTGGTATAACCGTGTATACATATAGTCAAGTGTGGTATAATTATGTATACATATAGTCAAGTGTGGTATAACCGTGTGTACATATAGGCAGGTGTGTACTATGTTGTCTCTATTAAATGATACTGAGTCTTGCCACTGACCTGTGACCATTGTAACGGCATCATGTGATGTGACATTTTACAACCGTATAATCAATACTTCAGTGGAGCAGCACGCCGTACATGTGAGTCACTCTCTGCATTTTATTTAGGATTTACGCAGAATGAATTTGATTTTAATGCGGGTTTTTTATTTCAACAAGTGAAGCTTCAACGTTGATTTAATGCTCCAACCTCCCATCAAGTCCTGCTTGACATACAAGAGGGTCAGAGATTTGTCATCAAAATTAATTCGAAATGGATACCAACACCATTACATGTTTGTTGAATAACGATATTATCGATTTCGGTTGCCACGACAACGATAATTCTGTTGAAAACATCTTTTCATTTGCTCTAAGTAAATCGTGTCCCTTAGAATAAATCTACAAACCCCACAGGTCACGTTCCAGAACGGCTCACCCCCGGGGCACACGAAACCGTTTTGCACATGAAATTCTTTGACTTGCGGACAATAGTTAATTATCGGATGAAGGTGCAGTGAATTCCCGAGCGCGGGGTTGCGCCATTAACTCTCAAACTGTGACAAGGCGAGGTATATTAGCGGTTCTTTGGGAGCAATGAGGATTTCATCAAAGCGACGAGGCAGTCCATCCATTTTAATGATCACGTTCAACAAGACCCGATCATTAACGCAATGTAAGCCGCTAAATGGTCAGCCACGCACACTCCACGAATTGGTCTTGTCAACTCTTATAGCAACAGTTAATTCAACTCCAGATTTCACAAGAACTTGGTTATTAATTGGCACATTCTTGCTATGATCCTTTAATCATCTATGATGCGCAAGATATGCCCAATATTCCGGAAATTGGTGTGAAGATGTAGGTATTAGGATGAACTATGTTGGTTTGGTAGAGAGGTACTTGAAAAGTTGGTGTCAGAGTTACTATTAAGGTTGCTCTAGGGCAAAGCGTTTAGATCGATCCATACTTGTCTGCGAAGGATTCTTATCTTAGTTGTGATTGACTAAATGTGATTCGGCATAGGTGGGAGATACACTGATTACACCCCACCCCACCCCACCCCTCCCCTCCCGGGTTGTATCTAGTATTCGAACTGTACCTAGTATTCGGGTTGTATCTAGTATTCGAACTGTACCTAGTATTCGGGTTGTATCTAGTATTCGAACTGTACCTAGTATTCGGGTTGTATCTAGTATTCGAACTGTATGTAGTATTCGAATCGTTCGTAGTATTCGAACTGTAGGTAGTATTCGAACTGTACGTAGTGTTCGAACTGTATGTAGTATTCGAGCTGTACCTAGTATTCAAAATGTACGTATTACGTAATACTTTAGAACTGTACGCAGAACGCAATGCCCTAGCCCAGCTTTTTCAAGAATCTGCCATACCCCCAAAAGACATTATATTCAACTGACAGCATCAATACAAGTACTGTCATGTTTTTATCAGTAAATGCGAAAGAATGCATGAAACAATTTAAGGAAGGTACAATGTTCCTCGGCTGAAAACGTAAATCGTTCCTTGTTCGTGCGTGACAGAACGCTCAGAGACACTAATAACACACAGGGATTATACTTGCTTTGATGTGTCGTAAGGCGCTTTGGCTATTAGCTTGTCTTAACGATGTCTAGCAAAGAAAATAGGCGAGGCTTGTGGACTGCATCAAAACACAATCAGCTCCAGCGCATATTCCTAGTGAATTCAGTCGGCACTTCCAAGAAGCTTAACTATTTGTGGACAGAGTATATGCCCCGTGGCTGATTAAATAGATTGTCACGAATGCATTAAGTTATCAATATCTTCTTTGAAACTAAAATGTATAAAACAACAACCGTTAAGTGGATGCTTGTATCTACGGCGGGAACGTGAAATGTTTTTTTGTGGATAGCAACGAACCAAGGTGCTAATTTGAGCGAAACATGATAGGCTTATTGTTGATCGTATGCATTTTTTAAAAAGGGCAATTCAAAAGGTTAAACTGCTTACATTTCTGAACCAGTAAACACGCACGGATGAAAAA